ATCTCCCCATCTGCTTAGTATTCATCCACTTCAGTTTCCTAAAGGTTACCAAACCAAATTAGACATTTATGCAGGATCTTCAAAGGTCCCTCTGTTATTAATCATGTGCTAATTCTGAGGACTACATGACGGCTTGCTTCTGCCTTTGAGAGTACCCCCCCCCCCCCCCCCCCCCCCCCCCCCACACACACAATATTGTGCATATACACTACATGACCAAAAGTATGTGGACACTTGCTCGTCGAACATCTCATTCCAAAATCACCGGCATTAATATGGAGTTGGTCCCTCCTTTGCTGCTATTACAGCCTCCACTCTTCGGGGGAAGGCTTTCCACTAGATGTTGGTAAATTGCTGCAGGGGCTTGCTTCCATTCAGCCACAAGAGCATTAGTGAGGTCGGGCACTGATGTGGACGATTAGGCTTGGCTCGCAGTCAGCGTTCCAATTCATCCCAAAGGTGTTTGATCGGGTTGAGGTCAGGGCTCTGTGCTGGCCAGTCAAGTTCTTCCACACCAATCTCGACAAACCATTTCTGTATGGACCTCGCTTTGTGCGAGGGGGCATTGTCATACAGGAAAGGGCCTTCCCCAAACTATTGCCACAAAGTTGGAAGCACAAAATCGTGTAGAATGTCATTGTATGCCGTAGCGTTCAGATTTCCATTCACTGGAACTAAGGGGCCTAGCCCGAACCATGAAAAACTGCCCCAGACCATTATTCCTCCTCCACCAAACTTTACAGTTGGCACTATGCATTGGGGCAGGTAGCATTCTCCTGGCATCTGCCAAACCCAGATTTGTTCGTAGGACTTCCAGATGGTGAAGCGTGATTCATCACTCCAGAGAACGCGTTTCCACTGCTCCAGAGTCCAATGGCGGTGAGCTTTACACCTCTCCAGCCGGCGCTCAGCATTGAGCATGGTGGTTTTAGGCTTGTGTGCGGCTGCTTGGCCATTTAAACCCATTTCTTGAAGATCCCAACAAACATTTATTGTGCTGACGTTACTTCCAGAGGCAGTTTGGAACTCAGTAGTGAGTGTTGCAATCGAGGACAGACAGTTTTTACACGCTTCAGCACTCGGCGGTCCTGTTCTGTGAGCTTGTGTGGCCTACCACTTCGCGGCTGAGCCATTGTTGCTCCTAGATGTTTCCAATTCACAATTACAGCACTTACAGTTGACCGGGGCAGCTCTAGCAGGGCAGAAATTTGACGAACTGACTTGTTGGAATGGTGGCATCCTATGACGGTGCCATGTTGAAAGTCACTGAGCTATTCAGTAAGGCCATTCTACTGCCAATGTTTGTCTTTTACTTCTAAGTGTGGGTCCTGCTGTTGTGAAAGGAAAATTCACTTGCTTTGAAAGCAGACTAGTGGAGAGTTAGAAAAGGGGAGGACTGAAGTTAGAGAAGGGAGCAATAACTCTTGTTAACACATTCACTTTGGCTCTCATGCCCTTTGCCGTGATTAACTAAATGTGATTAGCAAATTACTCTGCAATTACAGAGGCATGTTTGCATCAAGCCGGACAAATGACAAAACATCCTAAATAAAATAAGATTCCATGTATTATTTATATTCCGACTTTGATAAATTATGAATGGCAGCTAATTAGTGGTATGACAGAATTATTTTTCCTCTCAATGTCAAAGCTGGAATTGCAGCTGTTTATAATGTCTAACACATTATGACAAAATCCCTTTAACCACTTTACAAAGATGTAGGTGTCTTTTTAGTTCTGGGACTGATCAAATGTGATCTAGTTTGTAAACAAAGACACTGCATAAACATTGCAATTGCAGGTTTGATTGAATTCCAATGCGTCTGTACGACCCATACATGCATGCATGCGTGTGTGTGTGTGTGTGTGTGTGTGTTAATAATAAGGCAAGTGAAAATAAAGAGGAGCTAAAATGTGTGAGAGTAATTTCTCATTTCCCTGCTTCACTGCACATCAGTGGAAAGCTCTGCATTTTGAGTGATGGCCAAACAAGAAAAAGTGAACAACAAACCCTGTGGCTCTCTGAAAGAAAGAGAGAGAGGGGAGGGTGATACAGAAGGAGACGGAGAGAGAAACAATGTGTGAAAGATGGAGGGAGAAACTAGAGTGAAAGGAGAAAATGAGAGAGAGAGAGAGAGAGAGAGAGAGAGAGAGAGAGAGAGAGAGAGAGGAGAGAGAGAGAGAGAGGAGAGAGAGAGAGAGTCCAACATGTCCAACATCAATACCTTTGTATGGCCATGGCATACCATACCCAGAAAGTAGAAGAAAAAAAACAAGACTGAAAAGTAACAGGTAGTTCTGTAAGGATCTTTCTGGCTTTGATTGAATAAGAAATTATCAATCTTTAGCAGATAGAGAATGTCCTGACAGCAACCTATTAATGGGACTTTTCACATTGGACTCTGTAGAGCCTGTAGTATTCCATAATGGTATTCTCATAAGAAAAGGAAAAGGAGCTGTGGTATGAATTATGAGTGGACTGTATTTCTTTCTTAATTCAAGGGCTTAATGAATGAATCTCTGATCATGGTTGAAAATAAGCTTGTGTGTGTCACTGATTCGAATCCATCTCAAAGGACCATGAAATATAGAGGGCAAGGCGAGAGCTGAAGGTGCCTGTGGCGACTCAACTGTCCATTAGCACAGTATAGCTCTCGCTAGTGTATGCCCAGTGTTTTAGTAATTTGTGAAAAGCCAATGTTTTATTAGAAAACATTTCTAAACAGTCAAATATTAAACTCTGGGACCTAAGTATGTAACTGGCTAGTGGTAAGACTCTACCAAATGTGTTGCAGAATGCAGTTATGAGCCAAAAAAGGGAAACAGAGATCTGCCTTTCAATTATTAATTATTCATCAAATCTTATGGAAATTGACTAGTACAAACAAACCAGATTTTAAACAATGAACAGATAATTACACATTATGCCACTCTTCTTGGTTTTCAATTATGTGACAGTGAGAACCCAAACCAAAAAGCAAGGGATAAACTCATTACGGGCATTGTGAATGCTATGACCATAAAGAACTACCTCCAAGGTATTAGCTCTTGCATAGACTAAAATATTAATGTTTGCATAATGTTGTACTGCATTTTCTGTCATATATTACTCCATCTCACATATAGCTGGGATCGCAGTAGTGGTACAGTAAAAGGGTTCTCTGATAGGAACATATTGCTCTGGGTGCCAGTTTAGCTAAGTGTATGACAAGTCTAGTTAAATATTGATTTAGGAATACATATATATGCTTCTGCTGAATATTGAAGAGTTGCCATTGACATTTAGCTTCAGAACTTTTTAAGTCTCTGATCAAGGCCATTCAATTGAATGATCAACTGGAATCTTCTGATACCAAAAGCAGGAGTATACTTTTTCTTACTGTCACGCCCTGGCCTTGAGTGGCCGGTTGTCTTTAGTTGGTTTCCTCAGGGCGTGAGGATCTATGTTAGAATTTGTATGTTTAGATTCTAGATGTGTTTTTCTAGGTTTGGCCGGGTGTGATTCCCAATCAGAGGCAGCTGTCGCTCGTTGTCTCTGATTGGGGATCATACTTAAGTAGCCTGTTTGCCTACCTTAGTTGTGGGATCTTGTTCCGTGTTTAGGCTTGTATGTGTATAGCCTGAGGACTTCACGTTACGTTGTTTATTGTTTTGTTTATTGATTTTAATAAACATGTTCGCATACCACGCTGCACCTTGGTCTGACCCGTCTCTCAACGACCGTGACACTTACACTTATGTATCATTATTCAATGCAGAAATTCTCTTAATTAGTTAACATGGCGGACAACGAGTTGTGTCAAACATTCACTAGAATCAATCAAATCCAAAGCAGTCAGACACATTTATTCTCACCTTGGTTCCTTTTAGAAGATGAATTCCAACTCCATACACTGTGCTTCATGGTGTTAAATTGTTCACATCTAAAATCGAATTGATAAAGGCTCACTTTTTTCATTTCCATCCATCTTCAATCTCATCCATATGTAGATGGTATCTCTGGTCATTACAACTCATTTCATGCTACATGTCTGAGAACTGCATTTCACCTTTATGTCTCAGAGAGAAATTTGAGTAATGGGGCTAATAGCTCTTCATCCAGATCTCATTACACCTATGAACATACAGAAGTGGATATACCACGTTATTATGAGCAGGTGATGATGAATCTCAAACCATGATTGAGAAAATCCTACATGAAAGTTTTCCCATTTGAAGACCTTTAATATTTTTCCTCTAAAGAGAAAACCATGGACTGGCACTGCTTTTTCTCAATCAAACAGCTGTCTCTGGACTCTCCTACGAAAGCTATAAAATAAAAAGCCTTTCGACTTTGGCACAGTGCTAATATGATAAGATTGGCAGTTCCTTTTGAAAGAAGAGCTGAATTGATATTCTGGATGAATGGCAGCAACAGACCTATACCGTTAACAGTGTGAAACCTTTCACATGGTTGTTAAGTGGACAGAATTACATAAAGAAAGGGAGCGTTGGGTTAAATTAGCCGTGATATGCAGCATGGGTAATGACAAAACACAACTGGAAGGTTAAATGTCCTCATGGGCTGAAAGACTTTAGAGGCTAAGGCCAATATGTGCCACATATTGAATGGTAGTGAGGTGTTTGACTTGAAAAGATGAAAATGACATATTGCGTCACCTGCCCGGTCTGCTGAATACCATTGTGAGACATGACTTTAATTTAATTGGATTTTTCTGAGAGATTGTCCAACAGTGTTCATAGGCTCCTGTGAAAGGTGTATTTCCAGGCTCCATATGAACAGTAAGACAGTCAAATGAGCCTACTAATCAGTTTGAGGCCCTCTTCTGTACCAAAACTATTCTGAGATGAAAATAAACAATCTAAACTTTTACAGAGGGCCCTTCTCTCCGCATCATAAGCTGTCTTTCTTGGACTTATCCCTACCACTTGCTACAACAAAGGTTTGATTGCAGCTCAGCTGAGTCCACATTGACCTTCTTATACAGCAAACAGTCCAATTAGTCGATGATGAGGAAGAGGTAGGTACCCTTATCACCTGGATATTGCCTAGAACCAACCAAAACTGCAGCATTCAGCACCCACACAACAGTTCCAAGCAGCCATTTCCTACTCCGAACTAAAGAGAGGAGAAACTGTCTCAGTATTTCATGCGATTTCTCCTTGAGACATTTTGTCCATCTTTTCATTTCTGTTTTGCTCCCACTACTCTACCACTTATGGTATATACATGTTGTCTGAAGGGTGAAGTGAGGAGTGCTGTCTGTCTGCCCCAACCCTGTCCTCTGGGCTGATGACAGGCCAGTGATGAGGTGTTGGATCACTCATCAGAAAGCACAGAGCACTATGACACGCAGTATGTGCATGTCTCACATTTCTGATGGGGACTGCCTTGACCTCACGCTTCTCAGAGGAGGAATTTAGATCTGAGGCCTCTAAATAGAAGTGAATACACCTATTTCTGAAAAGATAGTTCAGAAAGATACACATTTAAAGGCTGTATTGAAGTTTGTAAAGTAAAACTACCACTTATTTGACAAGGCTGTTTTATAGTTATAAATTCCTAAAAGACTACAAATAAACAGCTTGCATTTTGTATATATACAAAGCAATATTTAAAGGTCATTACAGGTACTGTTTACCTGTACACTATAATACTACAGGTCCTATTTAATTATTCTGCAAAGAATGCAAAGTTCTGGCATGTGTAAAGGCACTTATGATCTTCTTATGACACTGTCATGAATATTCAAATACTGTCATGAGAATGTGAAACCCATACAGTGGCTTCCGTAAAGCCCAGCTCTGTGGAGTGTACGGCTTAAAGTGGTCCTATGGACAGATACTCCAATCTCCACTGTGGAGCTCTGCAGCTCCTTCAGGGTTATCTTTGGTCTCTTTGTTGCCTCTCTGATTAATGCCCTCCTTGCCTGGTCTGTGAGTTTTGGTGGGCGGCCCTCTCTTGGCAGGTTTGTTGTGGTGCCATATTCTTTCCATTTTTTTATAATGGATTTAATGGTGCTCCGTGGGATGTTCAAAGTTTCTGATATTTCTTTATAACCCAACCCTGATCTGTACTTCTCCACAACTTTGTCCCTGGCCGGTTTGGAGAGCTCCTTGGTCTTCATGGTTCCGCTTGCTTGGTGGTGCCCCTTGCTTAGTGGTGTTGCAGACTCTGGGGCCTTTCAGAACAGGTGTATATATACTGAGATCATGTGACAGATGATGTGGCACTTAGGTTGCACACAGGTGGACTTTATTTAACTAATTATGTGACTTCTGAAGGTAATTGGTTGCACCAGATCTTATTTAGGGGCTTCATAGCAAAGGGGGTGAATACATATGCACGCACCACTTTTCCATTATTTATTTTTCAGAATTCTTTGAAACAAGTTATTTTTTTTCATTTCACTTCCCAATTTGGACTATTTTTGTGTATGTCCATTACATGAAATCCAAAATAAAAATCAATTCAATTACAGTTGTAATGCAACAAAATAGGGAAAAACGCCAAGGGGGTTGAATACTTTTGCAAGGCACTGTATTATGAAGAAATGCAGAATGAGGTATGTAAGTTTACATACACTTAGGTTGGAGTCATTAAAACTCGTTTTTCAACCACTTTGTGCATGACACAAGTAATTTTTCCAACAATTGTTTACAGACAGATTATTTCACTTATAATTCACTGTATCACAATTCCATTCGGTGAGATGTTGACATACTCTAAGTTGACTGTGCCTTTAAACAGCTTGAAAAATTCCAGAAAATGATGTCATGGCTTTAGAAGCTTCTGATAGGACAATTGACATAATTTGAGTCAATTGGAGGTGTACCCGTGGATGTATTTCAAGGCCTACTTTCAAACTCAGTGCCTCTTTGCTTGACATCAAGGAAAATCCAAAGAAATCAGCCAAGACCTCAGAAAAAATGTAGAGCATTTCCAATGCCTGAAGGTACCACGTTCATCTGTACAAACAATAGTACGCAAGTATAAACACCATGGGACACGCAGTTAAAAAGCTGTTTTAAAACCGGGGGACAAGTTTGAAAAGGGAAAAAAATACCATCTGCTCCCCCATGCCAGAGGGTCAGTCTGACAAGACGTGATCCAGGGTCCCGGAGACGCTGGTCAGCGTCCATAAAGTCCCATGACTCCAGGGAGCTGAGGGACCCCGTGGCCGACCCTGTCCCCTCGAAGGCGTAGGTCCTCAGGCAGTCAAATGGTGGCACGTAGGGGTCCTGATCTGCTTCATCCAGCCTGTCAATGAGGAACTGTTTGAAGACGTCATCCTTGGGGCCGATGAGGTGGGAGTGGCGGAGGGACATGGACATCCTGATACTGGCCGCCACCTCCTCTCTGCGGAGCCTCCTGTCCCTCCTGCAGGGGTGGGGACGGAGGGGAACCGCAGGCTGACAGAACCCCCCCAGGTCACCCTCTACTCTGCCCCCTAGTTCTCCGTAGTGCAGCTTCTCTGAGACCCTATTAGGCAGCTCCAGCTCCTTCTCCGCTCCCCACAGTCTCTCCTGCTGTTTCCTCCTGTGTCTCCTCAGCATCAGCATTAGAATGGACAGCACCGGAGACACAAACCAGCAGGAGATCATTATGTTTTAAATACACAGAGAAGCTGACAAACTGAGAGAAGAGCATTTCAGGTCTGGATTAAATATGCACACTTTTGTGCTGCAATAATAGGGTGGGTTTAGGTTTTTGATTATTTGAGGTTAATGTGAAAATCTTTAAGGGGAAACAGCGAGAGGAAACAAGTTGGGAAAAGTAGATACCATAATTTCTGCCAATACAGTAAAATAATATTTGATATGAAGTCATAATTTATGTTTCACCTCATACAGTATCCGAAGGAAGAAATAATTTAGTGTGTGTTACGAATTCCCTGCCGGTGACTGTTATCAGCACCTAACAACCCTGAGCTGCACACTCCACTCCCCATACCCCACGACCGGAGCCTGAGAGTCTAGGGGTAACATAAAACTGCCTCTCAAACTCTTTGAGTATCGTATCTGCATTTGTGTCCTGGTGTATTCATTCGGTATGTGTGTATTCATTGCCTCTGTTTCTGTCCATTACAGAACCACTACCATTCCACTACTTTCCCACTGTTCATCCCATGTTCATCTTCTCAGTGTGTTTAAATTAAAGTACTGTGTGACTCTGGGCTGCGTTACCCCCTCTAGGGGTGGTGTCAGTGGGTCACCTTACTTTGGGGGGTTACTCTCTTTCACGGTGTTTTAACTGAGAATGTGAGCAGATGGAGAGTTATTGTCGGTGTTTATTTAACTAATTATGTACTTGAGGTATTGGTTGCACCAATCTATTTAGGTTCATAGAAAGGGTGAAACTATCACGCCCACTTCCATTATTTTTTTCAGAATCTTGAAACATTATTGTTGCGGTCCTCGGGGACACCTCGCCGTGCAGGTGCTAGCATGTTGTCTTGGTGGATGGAGATCTAGTTGAGGACACTGATTTGATAGCTAAAGATTTAATATCCATATTAGGACGCACCGTCAGAGTGATTCAGGGTTTAGCGTCTTTTTTTTTAGGGGGAGACCTTAAATGCGATGATTGTAATTCCTAGTAATTGTTGCTCATTCATTTTTTTTCTACCATATATATATTATATATATATATATTATATAGCTGAAGTCGAAGTTTAATACACTAGGTTGAGTCATAAACTCGTTTTTCAACCACTTTGTGATGACATATTTCCAACATTGTTTACAGACAGTTTTCACTTAAATTCACTGATCAAATTCCTTCGGTAGTGTACACCTAGTTGATGTCTTAAACAGCTGAATCCAGAAATATGTCATGCTTAGAACTTCTGATAGACAGACATAATTTGAGTCATGGAGGTACCCTGATGTTCAGCTACTTTCAACTCGTGCCTCTTTGCTTGACTCAAGGAACAAAACAGCAGACCAGAAAAAAATGTACAATTCCATCCTGAAGACCCGTCATCTGTACAATATACCAGTATAAACACCATGGGCCACGCAGCATCAGAAGGAGCGCGTTCTGTCTCGAGATAACGTATTGGTCAAAAATGCAAATCAACCCAACAAAAAAGGACTTGTGAAGATGCTGGGAAAATGTACAAGTACTATATCCACAGAACAGTCCTAATCGATAACCTAAGCCCTCACAGGTAAAGCCACTGCTCCAATCGCCATAAAAGCCAAACGGTTTGCAACTGCCAGGGAAAATGTACTTTTGGAAATGTCCTCTGCTGATGACAAATAGACTGTTTGGCCATTATACCATCGTATGTTTGCGACAGGGGTGGCATGCAAGCAGAAAACACCACCCAACCTAGGTGGGGGCAGCATCAGCTGTGGGTGCTGCTGCAGGAGGGAGGGCACCACAAAATATGGCATCATGAGGAAGAAAATTATGTGATATTTTTTTTTTTTTTTTTTTTTTTTTCAGGGGTATGCCTCAATGGGGCATGTTACACCAAGCTTTTTTCCAGCCTGTCAATGAGGAACTGTTTGAAGACGTCATCCTTGGGCCGATGAGGTGGGAGTGGCGGAGGGACATGGACATCCTGATACTGGCCGCCACCTCCTCTCTGCGGAGCCTCCTGTCCCTCCTGCAGGGGTGGGGACGGAGGGGAACCGCAGGCTGACAGAACCCCCCCAGGTCACCCTCTACTCTGCCCCCTAGTTCTCCGTAGTGCAGCTTCTCTGAGACCCTATTAGGCAGCTCCAGCTCCTTCTCCGCTCCCCACAGTCTCTCCTGCTGTTTCCTCCTGTGTCTCCTCAGCATCAGCATTAGAATGGACAGCACCGGAGACACAAACCAGCAGGAGATCATTATGTTTTAAATACACAGAGAAGCTGACAAACTGAGAGAAGAGCATTTCAGGTCTGGATTAAATATGCACACTTTTGTGCTGCAAATAATAGGGTGGGTTTAGGTTTTTTGATTATTTGAGGTTAATGTGAAAATCTTTAAGGGGAAACAGCGAGAGGAAACAAGTGGGAAAAGTAGATACCATAATTTCTGCCAATACAGTAAAATAATATTTGATATGAAGTCATAATTTATGTTTCACCTCATACAGTATCCGAAGGAAGAAATAATTTAGTGTGTGTTACGAATTCCCTGCCGGTGACTGTTATCAGCACCTAACAACCCTGAGCTGCACACTCCACTCCCCATACCCCACGACCGGAGCCTGAGAGTCTAGGGGTAACATAAAACTGCCTCTCAAACTCTTTGAGTATCTGTATCTGCATTTGTGTCCTGGTGTATTCATTCGGTATGTGTGTATTCATTGCCTCTGTTTCTGTCCATTACAGAACCACTACCATTCCACTACCTTTCCCACTGTTCATCCCCATGTTCATCTTCCTCAGTGTGTTTAAATAAAGTACCTGTGTGAACTCTTGGGCTGCTTTACTCCCCTCTAACCGGGGGTGGTGTCAGTGGGTCACAAACCAGTAAAATACTTTGGGCTGTGTTACTCTCTTTCAGTGTGCTTTTAAGCCTGAAGAACTAGTGATAGCAGTGGTGGAGAGCTTATTGTCTTGTTTTCATGGGGTATTGCACTCATATGAGGGGATGTTAGCCCAGTAAGCATTGCTATTAATATTTAATGTGATGGCCATAGGGATTACCCAAAACAGCAGAGGTCATAATGAAGCTCTACACTACTGCAAACCCATCAATGTCCCATGATAGCATTGTTATAGAAGCATTGCCACAAATAAGCACATCATTAGCTGAAAACATTATTGTGCTTTGCTAAGCATTTAGATGTTTAATATTTGTGTTTAGGCCACACTGGTGAGTTTGAGTAAATTATTACTATTATTAATGAGAGTGGGATACATTTAAAAGATATCCAACTATATAGCCACACACTTTATACTTAACAAGTTTATGTGAAGTGGAACTGCACTAGCTCACAGTAACACAACCGATCTGTTGAAAAGCAGTCACTTGTAACTTGAAGATCTGAAACAGTTTATTTTATCATGATATGTGTTCATGTAAACACATTCAAAATGTACCCATCATATAAAACATCAGATATGCCCATTCCAAGGGTACAGTCTCACTGACATGTGAGTGTTGCCAGACAGACCAGGAGGCCCAGAAGGGTCTGGAGGCTGAACCCCATGGAGAGGGCCAGGGCCTCCAACCCGCCTGTGGGGCAGTGTCCGGCAGGCTGACAGCTGCACACGCTGATGGTCAGGGTACTGGTACTGGAGAGGGCTGGGGAGCCACTGTCCACCACCACCACGGGCAGCATGTACTGGGTGCGGTCCCTACGGGTGAACAACCTCCGCCGTGCCAGGATGCTAACACTGTTGTCTGTGGTGGATAGGGAGATGCTAGTTGAGGAGCAAACCTGATTTGATAGCTTAAAGATTTGTATAGTATCCATATTAGGACAGCATCACACGTCTATGAAAGTTGATTCAGGCGTTTCATGCTGTCTTTTTTTTTTAGGGGGTAGATCAGCTTTAATATTGCAGATAGATTGTAATTTCCATCAATGTAATTGTCTGCATCACTTCCAATGTTTTTTTTCTCGCCAATATATATATATATATATATATATATATATATATATATAAGCAGTTGAAGTCGTAAGTTTACATACACTTAGGTTGGAGTCATTAAAACTCGTTTTTCAACCACTTTGTGCATGACACAAGTAATTTTTCCAACAATTGTTTACAGACAGATTATTTCACTTATAATTCACTGTATCACAATTCCATTGGGTGAGATGTTGACGTACTCTAAGTTGACTGTGCCTTTAAACAGCTTGAAAAATTCCAGAAAATGATGTCATGGCTTTAGAAGCTTCTGATAGGACAATTGACATAATTTGAGTCAATTGGTGGTGTACCCGTGGATGTATTTCAAGGCCTACTTTCAAACTCAGTGCCTCTTTGCTTGACATCAAGGGAAAATCCAAAGAAATCAGCCAAGACCTCAGAAAAAAAATTGTAGAGCAATTTCCAAATGCCTGAAGGTACCACGTTCATCTGTACAAACAATAGTACGCAAGTATAAACACCATGGGACCACGCAGCCATCATACCACTAAGGAAGGAGACGCGTTCTGTCTCCTAGAGATGAACGTACTTTGGTGCAAAAAGTGCAAATCAATCCCAGAACAACAGCAAAGGACCTTGTGAAGATGCTGGAGGAAACATGTACAAAAGTATCTATATCCACAGTAAAACGAGTCCTATATCGACATAACCTGAAAGGCCGCTCAGCAAGGTAGAAGCCACTGCTCCAAAATCGCCATAAAAAAGCCAGACTACGGTTTGCAACTGCACATGGGGACAAAGATCGTACTTTTTGGAGAAATGTCCTCTGGTCTGATGAAACAAAAATAGAACTGTTTGGCCATTATGACCATCGTTATGTTTGGCGGAACAAGGGGGTGGCATGCAAGCAGAAGAACACCATCCCAACCGTGAAGGATGGGGGAGGCAGCATCATGCTGTGGGGGTGCTTTGCTGCAGGAGGGACTGGTGCACTTCACAAAATAGATGGCATCATGAGGAAGGAAAATTATGTGGATATATTGAAGCAACAACTCAATATATCAGTCAGGAAGTTAAAGCTTGGCAAATGGGTCTTCCAAATGGACAATGACCCAAAGCATACTTCCAAAGTCATAGCAAAATGGCTTAAGGACAACAAAGTCAAGGTATTGGAGTGGCCATCACAAAGCCCTGACCTCAATCCTATAGAACATTTGTGGGCAGAACTGAAAAAGCGTGTGCGAGCAAGGAGGCCTACAAACCTGACTCAGTTACACCAGCTCTGTCAGGAGGAATGGGCCAAAATTCACCCAACTTATTGTGGGAAGCTTGTGGGAGGCTACCCGAAATGTTTGACCCAAGTTAAACAATTTAAAGGCAATGTTACCAAATACTAATTGAGTGTATGTAAACTTCTGACCCGCTGGGAATGTGATGAAAGAAATAAAAGCTGAAATAAATCATTCTCTCTATAATTATTCTGACATTTCACATTCTTAAAATAAAGACAGGGAATTTTTACTAGTATTGAATGTCAGGAATTGTGAAAAACTGAGTTTAAATGTATTTGGCTAAGGTGTATGTAAACTTCCGACTTCAACTGTATATATACATATACATACATACACATACATATACACATACAGTGGCTTGCGAAAGTATTCACCCCCATTGGCATTTTTCCTATTTTGTTGCCTTACAACCTGGAATTAAAATGGATTTTTTTGGGGTTTGTATCATTTGATTTACACAACATGCCTACCACTTCGAAGATGCAAAATATTATTTATTGTGAAACAAACAAGAAATAACACAAAAAAAGAGAAAACTTGAGCATAACTATTCACCCCCCCCCCCCAAAGTCAATACTTTGTAGAGACACCTTTTTCAGCAATTACAGCTGCAAGTCTCTTGGGGTATGTCTCTATAAGCTTGGCACATCTAGCCACTTTGATTTTTGCCCATTCTTCAAGGCAAAACTGCTCCAGCTCCTTCAAGTTGGATGGGTTCCGCTGGTGTACAGCAATCTTTAAGTCATACCACAGATTCTCAATTGGATTGAGGTCTGGGCTTTGACTAGGCCATTCCAAGACATTTAAATGTTTCCCCTTAATCCACTGCAGTGTTGCTTTAGCAGTATGCTTAGGGTCAATGTCCTGCTGGAAGATGAACCTCCGTCACAGTCTCAAATCTCTGAAAGACTGAAACAGGTATCATTCAAGAATTTCCCTGTATTTAGCGCCATCCATCATTCTTTCAATTTTGACCAGTTTCCCAGTCCCTGCCGATGGAAAAACATCCCCATAGCATGATGCTGCCACCACCATGCTTCACTGTGGGGTGATGAGAGGTGTTGGGTTTTCCTTGATAGCCAAAAAGCTCAATTTTAGTCTCATCTGACCAGAGTACCTTCTTCCATATGTTTGGGGAGTCTCCCACATGGCTTTTGGCGAACACCAGTGTTTGCTATTTTTTTTTAAGCAATGCTTTTTCCACTCTTCCTAACCCACTTGTGGAGTGTTGCTTAAGTGTCATGGATATCTCCAAGCTTGCACTCCTCGGGTTATCTTTGGTCTCTTCGTGTTGATCTTAATAATGTCTTGCCTGTCCTGAGTTTTTGGTGTGCATCCTCTCTGCAGGTTGTTGTGGAGCCATATTCTTTCATTTTTATCATGGATTAATGGGCTCCGTGGGATGGTAAATTGTTCTGATATTTGTTTATAACCAATCCTAATCTGTACTTCTCCACCAACCTTTGTCCTGACTTGGGTTTGGAGAGCTCCTTGGTCTTTATGGTGCCGCTTATTTGGTGGTGCCCCTTGCTTAGTGGTGTTGCAGACTCTGGGGCCTTTCAGAACAAGTATGTATATACACTGACAGCATGTGACATATCATGTGACACTTAGATTGCACACAGGTGGACTTTCTTTAACTAATTATGTGACTTCTGAAGGTAATTGGTTGCACCATATCTTATTTAGGGGCTTCATAGCAAAGGGGGTGAATACATATGCACGCACCACTTTTCCGTTATTTATTTTTCAGAATTCTTTGAAACAAGTTATTTTTTTTCATTTCACTTCACCAATTTGGACTATTTTGTGTATGTCCATTACATGAAATCCAAATAAAAATCAATTTCAATTACAGGTTGTAATGCAACAAAATAGGAAAAACGCCAAGGGGGAATGAATACTTTTGCAAGGCACTGTACCTACATATAAATACATATACATACACATATACACATATATTTCCCTTTTTTACTTTCCAACCCCACCACCCCTTCCCTAGTTGGAGTAAAGTAGTGAACAACAATGCCTCTACTTCCATTTTATACATACTATATACATTTTATTGACACATCAATTTTACAATAATTATATTTTGAATTTACTCCTGAACCTTCTCTACCCTCAACCTCTCCGATCATTTTCATGATGTCCATCCGGTTTGCTTCTATATGCCATATCTTTCTAACTGTGCTCTTTCAAAATCTCTCAACCTATAACCCATATACTTATTATGGACACAGTATGCTTTACATTAGTTATCCTGTTGTTATTAGTTGTTGTTAATTGTTATTAGTCCCATCCTTCAGCTCCATTCAACACCTCCCATCTATCTCTTAACACCATCCATATTGGATTTCACAAAAGTTCTGAACCCTTCTATTCTCATTGTTTCTACAGATTGCTAAAAGTATTATTATATTATTGATCGATTGACTATGACTTTTCAGATCACCCAGTAGTGCTATCTGCACGGTTAGCTCCAGGTAAATATTGCAATCCTTCAGGCATTCCTGGACCTGTGACCAAAACAAGCTACAAATGGACTGTACCAAAACAAATGATCTAATGATTCTGTCTCTTCACAGCAAAATCTGCAGAGCTGGGAAGATTGTATCCCTCATGTAAATAACAAGTTTTGAATCTGGCGTCGTTTTGCCTATAAGTTCATAAACACTATGCCATGAAATCGGTACGTCAAAAATCTCTTCCCAACGATTTTGCAATCTATATGGGATGACTGTGAATCCTTTGGTCCTTAAATGAACCTGGTATACTTTTTTATTCATCACAATTTTCTTTAACCAATTATGTTCTTTAATGCAGGGCCGACAGACAAGTTCCTTACTTTTTCCCCATTCCACTTTCCTCTTCCATTTTTGCGGTAATGAAGAAATTATTTGGTTATAATTTTGGGTAGAGCAGACATTTCCATGTTTTTGTTAGCTGCATGTGCGACATAACTCCACCAGTCCTACCTATGATATCATTTACGAAGATTATACTTATTTTTTTCTTTTCTTTTATATATAATGGTTTTTTATCAATTAGTATATTTGAGTTCAACCACAATATTTGTTGCATTTTTTGTTCTGTCGTTTCTGGAGGATTACATTGAAATTGCAACCAACTTTCTATGGCTTGTTTTAGAAATAGTGATATTTGGGAGATGATTTTCTTTTCAAATAATTTTTCTATCTTTTGTTTCTGTGCATTGCTACACAGATGCCTGAATCATCTTAGATTTTATTCATGAATACATAGGCCAGTTTGAATGACAGTCAGATGATCTACAGTGGGGAGAACAAGTATTTGATACACTGCCGATTTTGCAGGTTTTCCTACTTACAAAGCATGTAGAGGTCTGTAATTTTATCATAGGTACACTTCAACTGTGAGAGACGGAATCTAAAACAAAAATCCAGAAAATCACATTGTATTGCATAATGTATTGCATTTTATTGCATGACATAAGTATTTGATACATCAGAAAAGCAGAACTTAATATTTGGTACAGAAACCTTTGTTTGCAATTACAGAGATCATACGTTTCCTGTAGGTCTTTACCAGTTTTGCACACACTGCAGCAGGGATTTTGGCCCACTCCTCCATACAGACCTTCTCCAGATCCTTCAGGTTTCGGGGCTGTCGCTGGGCAATACGGACTTTCAGCTCCCTCCAAAGATTTTCTATTGGGTTCAGGTCTGGAGACTGGCTAGGCCACTCCAGGACCTTGAGATGCTTCTTACTGTGTGTTTCGGGTCGTTGTCATGCTGGAAGACCCAGCCACGACCCATCTTCAATGCTCTTACCGAGGGAAGGAGGTTGTTGGCCAAGATCTCGTGATACATGTCCCCATCCATCCTCCCCTCAATACGGTGCAGTCGTCCTGTCCCCTTTGCAGAAAAGAATCCCCAAATAATGATGTTTCCACCTCCATGCTTCACGGTTGGGATGGTTTTCTTGGGGTTGTACTCATCCTTCTTCTTCCTCCAAACACGGCGAGTGGAGTTTAGACCAAAAAGCTCTATTTTTGTCTCATCAGACCACATGACCTTCTCCCATTCCTCCTCTGGATCATCCAGATGGTCATTGGCAAACTTCAGACGGGCCTGGACATGCTCTGGCTTGAGTAGGGGGACCTTGCGTGCGCTGCAGGATTTTAATCCATGACGGCGTAGTGTGTTACTAATGGTTTTCTTTGAGACTGTGGTCCCAGCTCTCTTCAGGTCATTGACCAGGTCATGCTGTGTAGTTCTGGGCTGATCCCTCACCTTCCTAATGATAATTGATGCCCCACGAGGTGAGATCTTGCATGGAGCCCCAGACCGAGGGTGATTGACCGTCATCTTGAACTTCTTCCATTTTCTAATAATTGCGCCAACAGTTGTTGCCTTCTCACCAAGCTGCTTGCCTATTGTCCTGTAGCCCATCCCAGCCTTGTGCAGGTCTACAATTTTATCCCTGATGTCCTTACACAGCTCTCTGGTCTTGGCCATTGATGTGCTTCTCAGAGACCATGGAGAAATAGAAGTGGTGTCCCTCCACAGGGTCGTCCAGATCCACAGCATTGATTAGCTGGATGAGCTACAAGACACATAGATATACTGTAGCTGTCAGACGATGGTTCTCACTGACAATGATTGTCACTGAGCATCGGAAAAGAAAAAAAGCATAGAAAGTCCTCACTAGGACATATCCCCACATTTACAGTGCCTTCAGAAAGTATTCACACCCTTTAACTTTTTCCAAATGTTGTTGTGTTATAAAGCAGGATACAATGCATTTAATTGTAATTTCTTGTGAACGTTCTACACAAAATACACTGTAATGTCAAAGTGGAAGAAAATTCGAACATTTGTAATAAATTAATGAAAAATAAAACACTAATATATCTTGACTGGATAAGTATTCAACCCCCTGAGTCACCTTTGACAGTGATTACAGCTGTGAGTCCTTCTGGGTAAGTCTCAAAGAGCTTTCTACACCTGGATTGTGCAACATTTAACCATTATTATTTTCAAAATTCTTCAAGCTCTGTCAAATTGGTTGTTGATCATTGCTAGACAACCATTTTCAGGTCTTGCCATACATTTTCAAGCAGATTTATGTCAAAACTGTAACGCGGCCATTCAGGAACATTCACTGTCTTGTTGGTAAGCAATTCCAGTGTATATTTGGCTCTGTGTTTTAGGTTATTCTCCTGCTGAAAGGTGAATTCATCTCCCAGTGTCTGTTGGAAAGCAGACTGAACCAGGTTTTCCTCTAGGATTTTGGATTCTGCTTAACTCTATTCCGTTTCTTTTTTATCCTGAAAAACTCCCCAGTCCTTAACAATTACCAGCATACCCATAACACGGTGCAGCCACCACTAAGCTTGAAAATAAGGAGAGTGGTACTCAGTAATGTGTTGTATTGGATTTGCCCCAAACATAACACTTTGTATTCAGGACAAAAGTTAATTGCTTTGCCACATTTTTTGCAGTATTACTTTAGTGCCTTGTTGTAAATAGGATGCATCTTTTAGAATATTTGTGGATCAACAACATTACTAACTCTGTCAATTAGGTTAGTAATGTTGTTGATCCATTCTCAGTTTCCTCCTTTCACAGCCATTAAACTATTTAACTGTTTTATAGTCACCATTGGCCTCATGGTGAAATCCCTGAGCGGTTTCCTTCCTCCTTCCTTAGGAAGGATGCCTGTATCTTTGTAGTGACTGGGTGTATTGATACACCATCCAAAGTGTAAATAATAACTTCACCATGCTCAAAGGGATATTCAATGTCTGCTTTTTTTATTGTTACCAATCTACCAATAGGTGCCCTTCTTTGCGAGGCATTGGAAAACCTCCCTGGTCTTGTGGTAGAATATGTGTTTGAAATTCACTGCTTGACTGAGGGACCTTACAGATAATTGTATGTGTGGGGTACAGAGATGAGGTAGTCATTCCAAAATCATGTTAAACATTATTATTGGGGCCTCCCGAGTGCCGCAGCGGTCTAAGGCACTGCATCGCAGTGCTTGAGGTGTCACTACAGACCCGGGTTCGATCCCAGGCTGTGTCATAACCGGCCGTGATTGGGAGTCCCATAGGGCGGCGCACAATTGGCCCAGCATCGTCTGGGTTAGGGGAGGGTTTTGCTGGGGGCGCTTTACTAGGCTTATCGCGCTCTAGCAACTCCTTGTGGCGGGCCTGGCGCCTGCAGGCTGACTTTGTTCATCAATTGAACAGTGTTTCCTCCGACACATTGGTGCGGCAGGCTTCCGGGTTAAGCAGGCGGGTGTTAAGAAGCGTGGTTTGGCGGGTCATGTTTCGGATGACTCGACCTTCGCCTCTCCTGAGCCCGTTGGGGAGTTGCAGCAATGAGACAAGATTGTAATTGGATCGCAATTGGATATCACGAAATTCGGGTAAAATACAAAATAATAATAATATTATTATTATTATTATTATTATTGCACACAAAGAGAGTCAATGCAACTTATTATGTGACCTTTTAAGCAAATGTTTACTCCTGAATTTATTTAGGCTTGCCATAACAGAGGGGTTGAATACTTATTGACTCAAGACATTTCAGCTTTTCATTTTTTATTAATTTGTTAAAAAAAATAAAAAGATATATACATACGTCAACTTTGACATTATGGGGTATTGTGTGTAGGCCAGTGACAAAAAAATCTCAACTTAATTCATTTTAAATTCAGGCTTTTCATTTTTTATTATTTTGTAAAAAATAAAAATGAAAAACATAATCCAAATTTGACATTATGGGTTATTGTGTGTAGACCAGTGACAAAACATCTGAATTTAAATCATTTAAAATTCAGGCTGTAACACAACAAAATGTGGAACTAAACAAACAACAAAATTGTTCAAGGGGTGTGAATACTTTCTGAAGGCACTGTAGTTGAGACAAGACAAGGTAACTGACAAGGTACAGTAACAGTGATTGTGACATAACATCTGCATTGTCCCCTCAGGGATACGAAGCTCAAACCTTGTGACTCAGCCCATAGCCCACATACCTGTACAGAAGGCCAATGTTACATTATTCTCAGTGAAAATAGTGAGGGATGCATCGTACCTCTCCTGACTGTGTGCCTTCACAGATATATGGCTGGTAGTCTCTGGCAGGCCTTGGCGCATTGTCGTTTATGTCCAGCACTTTGATGAACAACACCACAGACGAGGATAGATGGTTCTGCTCTGCAGTTGTGAAGATAGACATTTGTTGTCCATTGGATACATGCATCATAAATGCTTTGGAAAAGCTCTGTCACAAAGGCAGTTTAACGTGATGAATGTTACTGTAACAGTCACATCTCTTTGAATTACAACGGTGGCACAAATGGGTGTTTCATTGCTCAATCCCAAAGCAAACATGATATTGGACAAAATGAAAGCCAAAAAACAGTTTAGACCCTTTCAGTAGAGTTGAACATTGTGCTTTGTTTGAGGCTAGATGAAGATGGTTCAGTATATCAGTAAGTTATTGCCAGTCATAGCGCATTCACAGCAAATTGGCCAGTGTTGATTTTTCAGTGTAACATTTATAGTGTTGATTAAGGAGTTAAATTCACTCTGTAAGAGTGAAATTCAAACTCAGTAGTGTAAAAGAACGCCCAGTGTTGGTCTTAATAAACAGTGTTATTGTTTTACACTGTTTACAGTAAAACAGTCCTATCAAAACCACACCCATCATTATCATATTTACCAGCATGCTCTACTGCAGGTTGATTTTTTAGGATTGTTTTTAATATCTGTGTTTTTGCATGTACATTGATTGATTGATTAATCTTATTCTACACAAAAATAAATAACATACATTTTTCTAAACTAATCCAATTAGTTACTTACATCTGTTGAATTGGTTGTTCCGATTTAAATGGTTTAGGTAGTGTTTAAATATTGTCATATTTCCTAACCTTGACAGTCACTCTGAATGCAGGTTGCGGATGAATAAAAAATCAAACTGTTGGATATCATAACTCTGGCTGGATTACAATAGGAATTACACATCACTTTGCAAGCCAGCATAATGTGACTTGCAGGCCTGATGTGGCCTCTAAACTGGAAGTTTCCTAACACCACTGTGTTACGGTAAAACTAGGCCATCAACCAGGCTATCAAAGTAAGGCCTTATGATATATGTAATGTATTGTCATAGAGTTTAATTTTAATGATAACATTTGCCCAGGAACTCACTTAGTGAAAGCCTCAGGCCTTTAAAAGGAAATAATTCAACAACCATGTCTCTGTCACTAACACATACAGTCATGGGTGTTCACTCTACAATTTACTCAAACAGAAAAGGCACCCTGGGAAATCTGCAAATTAGGTTTTACAACATACAGTGTTAAAACAACACTTTTTTTTACTGTAACAGTACAGGTGCTAATGTCTTATAGTGAGGAAGTGTAACAGTGTCAGCACTAAGCAAAGGGAGTCCAGTTGGCTCTAAATCATGTGTTATGTTTTACACTGTAGGTGTTGCGTATTACTCTACAGTAGAGCTATGCAAACACCAAAATTGAGTTCAACGAGTGCAATGAGGCCCTTTATCACTTCCCCAAAGTCAGATGAACTCGTGGATACCATCTTTATGTTTCTGTGTCTATTATGAAGGAAGTTAGAGGTAGTTTCACGAGCCAATGCTAACTAGCATTAGCACAATCATCAGTCATTGCGCTAACGCTAGTTAGGAATTGCGCTAGAGCTCGTTAGCAACTTCCTTTATGAAGAGTCATAAAAATTTATCAACGAGTTCTTCTGACTCTGGGGAAGTAGATAAAGGGCCTCATTGCCAAAATCCCAAAGTATCCCTTTAGGATTACAATGGGGAACACTGCAACATAGTTAAATCTTTAACAAAAGTGTTATTTTAACACCAGTACAGTGGGACTCATATGTTCTCTGAAAATAGTGTACATTTTATCCTTTCAGAGTTAAATGTACATGATTGAATTTGCTGTGTTTGCCATCATAGTTGATATTGATGTGCTTTTCTCTGTATTATCAATACTTTGTTGTATTGTATATGTATGAGATAGATACTCCTTACTTGTTTCTTTGGCTGTTATGGTTAGATTGTGCCAGGCTGCTTCCTCACGGTCCAAAGGTTTCGCAAAAAATACGGTCCCATTGTTTGGGTCTATTTTGAAAGCTTTTCTGATATCGCTGCTTTCGTGAATGGAATATCTGGAAGAGAAATCACCAGGACACACAGTTAGCGAGCAATGCAAAGCGCTGGTTTCTCATAGTTGACCAAACGCTTCAGTTTGGTTTTAGACCCCATCATAGCACTGATACTGCACTCGTGAAGGTGGTAAATGACCTTTTAATGGCGTCAGACCAAGGCTCTGCATCTGTCCTCGTGCTCCTAGACCTTAGTGCTGATTTTGACACCATTGATCACCACATTCTTTTGGAGAGATTGGAAACCCTAATTGGTCTACACGGACAAGTTCTTGCCTGGTTTAGATCTTATCTGTTGGAAAGATATCAGTTTGTCTCTGTGGATGGTTTGTCCTCTGACAAATCAATTGTACGTTTTGGTGTTCCTCAAGGTTCCGTTTTAGGACCACTATTGTTTTCACTATATATTCTACCTCTTGGTGATGCCATTCGGAAACACAATATCAACTTTCACTGCTATGCGGACGACACAGCAGTACATTTCGATGAAACATGGTGAAGCCCCAAAATTGCCTACCCTGGAAGCCTGTGTTTCAGACATAAGGAAGTGGATGGCAGCAAATTGTTTACTTTTAAACTCAGACAAAACAGAGATGCTAGTTCTAGGTCCCAAGAAACAAAGAGATCTGCTGTTGGATCTGACAATTAATCTTGATGGTTGTACAGTCGTCTCAAATAAAACTGTGAAGGACCTCTGCGTTACTCTGGACCCTGATCTCTCTTTTGATGAACATATGAAGAATATTTCAAGGCTTGTTTCCATCTTCGTAACATTGCAAAAATCAGAAACGTTTTGTCCAAATATGATGCAGAAAAGCTAATCCATGCTTTTGTCACTTCTAGATTAGACTACTGCAATGCTCTACTCTCTGGCTACCCGGATAAAGCACTAAATAAAGTTCAGTTAGTGCTAAACACGGCTGCTAGAATCTTGACTAGAACCAAAAAAATTGATAATATTACTCCAGTGCTAGCCTCTTTCAACACTTGCTTCCTGTTAAGGCTAGGGCTGAGTTCAAGGTTTTACTGCTAACCTACAAAGCATTACATGGGCTTGCTCCTACCAATCTCTCCAATTTGGTCCTGCCATACCTACATACACATACGCTATGATCACAAGACGCAGGCCTCTTTATTATCCCTAGAAGTTCTAAGCCAACAGCTGGTGGCAGCTCTTTCTCCTATACAGCTCCATTTTTATGTAATGGTTTGCCTACCCATGTGAGAGACGCAGACTCGGTCTCAACCTTTAAGGCTGAAGACTCATCTCTTCAGTAGGTCCTATGATTGAGTGTAGTCTGGTGGTGCGAAGGTGAACGGCAAGGCACTGGAGCGACGAACCGCCCTTGCTGTCTTTGCCTGGCCGGCTCCCCTCTCTCCACTGGGATTCTCTGCCTCTGACCCTATTACGGGGGCTGAGTTACTGGCTTACTAGTGCTCTTCCATGCCTGGTTGGCCCTGTAAGGGGTATCGTCGGACAGTGCCACAGTGTCCCTCGACTCCCCCTATCTATGTGCCGGGGGGCTAGGGTCAGTCTGTTATATCTGGTGTAATTCTCCTGTCTTATCTGGTGTCCTGTGTAAATTTAAGTATGCTCCCTCTAATTCTCTCTCTCTCCCTTTCTCCCTCCCCTCTCGGACGACCTGAGCCCTAGGACCATGCATCAGGACTACCTGGCCTGATGACTCTTGGCTGTCCCCAGTCCACCTGGTTGTGCTGCTGGTCCAGTTTCAACTAATGGAACCCTGACCTGATCACCGGGTATGCTACCTTGTCCCAGACCTGCTGTTTTCGACTCTCTCTCTCTCTCCTCTCCTCTCTCTCTCTCTCTCTCTCTCTCTCTCCTCTCTCTCTCTCTCTCTCTCTCTCTCTCTACCGCACCTACTGTCTCGACCTCTGAATGCTCGGCTATGAAAAGCCAACTGACATTTACTCCTGAGGTACTGACCTGTTGCACCCTCTACAACCACTGTGATTATTATTTGACCCTGCTGGTCATCTATGAACATTTGAACATCTTGAAGTACAATCTGGCCTTAATGGCCATGTACTCTTATAATCTACACCCGTCACAGCCAGAAGCCAGAAGAGGACTGGCCACCCCTCAGAGCCTGGTTCCTCTCTAGGTTTCTTCCTAAGTTCCTGCCTTTCTAGGGAGTTTTTTGTAGCCACTGTGCTTCTACATCTGCATTGCTTGCTGTTTGGGGTTTTAGGCTTGGTTTCTGTATAGTACTTTGTGACATCTGCTGATGTAAAAAGGGCTTTATAAATCAATTTGACTTGATTTGATGACAAAGTACAGAAAGTTATAGACAAGAACAACATAAGATATTACATTCAATTCAAAATAAATCAAAAATAGTTATGTATTGGAAAGAAAACAAGAGACAACAAAAATACTATTTACACATTATTCATATATACATATTCATATTCTTACATACAGTGAAGTTAAATTAGATCTTTATAAAGAGGAGAGGTGCTGTGATACGATATGTTTTTTATGTATTTAAACTAGATTTTTGCCTTAGTAACCTCTGGTGGCAGAGCATTCCACGATCACATTGCTCTATACATAATTAAGCAACACATTAAATCTGTTTTTGGTTTGGGTACCGTGAAGAAACCCATAGTGGCATATATGGTGGGGTATGTACAGTATGTACTGTATTTACAGTACCAGTGAAACGTTTGGATACACCTACTCATTCCAGGGTTTTTCTATAATTTGACTAATTTCTACGTTGTAGAATAATAGTGAAGACATCAAAACAATGAAATAACACATATGGAATCATGTAGTAACCAAAAAAGTGTTAAGAAAATCAAATCAAACAAATCAAAATATATATTTATAGCCACCCTTTGCCTTGATGACAGCTTTGTACCCTCTTGGCATTCTCTCAACCAGCTTCATGAGGTAGTCACCTGGAATGCTTTTCAATTAACAGGTGTGCCTTCTTAAAAGTTAATTTGTGGAATTTCTTTCCTTCTTAATGCGTTTGAGCCAATCAGTTGTGTTGTGACAAGGTAGGGGGGGTATACAGAAGATACCCCTATTTGGTAAAAGACCAAGTCCATATTATGGCAAGAACTGCTCAATTAAGCAAAGAGAAACGACAGTCCATTATTACTTTAAACATGAAGGTCAGTCAATACGGATATTTCAAGAACTTTGAAAGTTTCTTCAAGTGCAGTTGCAAAAACCATATTTTTATTTTATTTTATTTTATTTCACCTTTATTTAACCAGGTAAACCAGTTGAGAACAAGTTCTCATTTACAACTGCGACCTGGCCAAGATAAAGCAAAGCAGTGCGATAAAAACAACAACACAGAGTTACATATGGGGTAAAACAAAACAAAGTCAAAAATACAACAGAATAAATATGTATACAGTGTGTGCAAATGTAGCAAGTTATGGAGGTAAGGCAATAAATAGGCTATAGTGCAAAATAATTACAATTAGTATTAACACTGGAATGATAGATGTGCAAGAGATGATGTGCAAATAGGGGTACAAATGAGCAAAATAAATAACAATATAGGGATGAGGTAGTTGGGCGGGCTAATTTCAGATGGGCTGTGTACAGGTGCAGTGATCGGTAAGGTGCTCTGACAACTGATGCTTAAAGTTAGTGAGGGAGATAAGTGTCTCCAGCTTCAGAGATTTTTGCAATTTGTTCCAGTCATTGGCAGCAGAGAACTGGAAGGAATGGCGGCCAAAGGAGGTGTTGGCTTTGGGGATGACCAGTGAGATATACCTGCTGGTGTTGCTATGGTGACCAATGAGCTAAGATAAGGCGGGGATTTGCCTAGCAGTGATTTATAGATGGCCTGGAGCCAGTGGGTTTGGCGACGAATATGTAGTGAGGACCAGCCAACAAGAGCGTACAGGTCACAGTGGTGGGTAGTATATGGGGCTTTGGAGACAAAACGGATGGCACTGTGATAGACTACATCCAATTTGCTGAGTAGAGTGTTGGAGGCTATTTTGTAAATGACATCACCGAAGTCAAGGATCGGTAGGATAGTCAGTTTTACGAGGGCATGTTTGGCAGCATGAGTGAAGGAGGCTTTGTTGCGAAATAGGAAACCGATTCTAGATTTAACTTTGGATTGGAGATTCTTAATGTGAGTCTGGAAGGTGAGTTTACAGTCTAACCAGACACCTAGATATTTGTAGTTGTCCACATACTCTAGGTCAGACCCGTCGAGAGTAGTGATTCTAGTCGGGTGGGCGGGTGCAAGCAGCGTTCGGTTGAAGAGCATGCATTTTGTTTTACTAGTGTTTAAGAGCAGTTGGAGGTTACTGAAGGAGTGTTGTATGGCATTGAAGCTCGTTTGGAGGTTTGTTAACACAGTGTCCAATGAAGGGCCAGATGTATACAAAATGGTGTCGTCTGCGTAGAGGTGGATCTGAGAGTCACCAGCAGCAAGAGCGACGTCATTGATATACACAGAGAAAAGAGTCGGCCCAAGAATTGAACCCTGTGGCACCCCCATAGAGACTGCCAGAGGTCCAGACAACAGGCCCTCCGATTTGACACATTGAACTCTATCTGAGAAGTAGTTGGTGAACCAGGCGAGGCAGTCATTTGAGAAACCAAGGCTATTTAGTCTGCCAATAAGAATGCGGTGGTTGACAGAGTCGAAAGCCTTGGCCAGGTCAATGAAAACGGCTGCACAGTACTGTCTATTATCGATCGCGGTTATAATATCGTTTAGGACCTTGAGCGTGGCTGAAGTGCACCCATGACCAGCTCGGAAACCGGATTGCATAGCGGAGAAGGTACGGTGGGATTCGAAGTGGTCGGTGATCTGTTTGTTAACTTGGCTTTCAAAAACTTTTGAAAGGCAGGGCAGGATGGATATGGGTCTGTAACAGTTTGGATCTAGAGTGTCACCCCCTTTGAAGAGGGGGATGACCGCGGCAGCGTTCCAATCTCTGGGGATCTCAGACGTTACGAAAGAGAGGTTGAACAGGCTAGTAATAGGGGTTGCGACAATTTCAGCGGCTAGTTTTAGAAAGAAAGGGTCCAGATTGTCTAGCCCAGATGATTTGTAGGGGTCCAGATTTTGCAGCTCTTTCAGAACATCAGCTGTCTGGATTTGTGTGAAGGAGAAGCGGGGGGGGCATGGGCAAGTTGCAGCGGCGTGTGCAGAGCTGGTGGCCGGGGTAGTGGTAGCCAGGTGGAAAGCATGGCCAGCCGTAGCAAAATGCTTGTTGAAATTCTCGATTATTGTAGATTTATCGGTGGTGATAGTGTTTCCTAGCCTCAGTGCAGTGGGCAGCTGGGAGGAAGTGCTCTTATTTTCCATGGACTTTACAGTGTCCCAAAACTTTTTGGAGTTAGTGCTACAGGATGCAAATTTCTGTTTGAAAAAGTTAGCCTTTGCTTTCCTAACTGCTTGTGTATATTGGTTCCTAACTTCCCTGAAAAGTTGCATATCGCGGGGGCTATTTGATGCTAATGCAGTACGCCACAGGATGTTTTTGTGCTGGTCAAGGGCAGTCAAGTCTGAGGAGAACCAGGGGCTATATCTGTTCTTAGTTCTGTATTTTTTGAATGGGGCATGTTTATTTAAGATTGAGAGGAAATTACTTTTAAAGAACAACCAGGCATCCTCTACTGACGGAATGAGATCTATATCCATCCAGGATACCTGGGCCAGGTCAATTAGGAAGGCCTGCTCGCTGAAGTGTTTTTGGGAGCGTTTGACAGTGATGAGGGGTGGTCGTTTGACCGCGGACCCGTTACGGACGCAGGCAATAAGGCAGTGATCGCTGAGATCCTGGTTGAAGACAGCGGAGGTGTATTTAGAGGGTAAGTTAGTCAGGATGATATCTATGAGGGTACCCATGTTTACAGATTTAGGGTTGTACCTGGTAGGTTCGTTGATAATTTGTGTGAGATTGAGGGCATCTAGTTTAGATTGTAGGATGGCCGGGGTGTTAAGCATATCCCAATTTAGGTCACCAAGCAGTACGAACTCTGAGGATAGATGGGGGGCAATCAATTCACATATGGTGTCCAGGGCACAGCTGGGGGCTGAGGGGGGTCTGTAGCAAGCGGCAACATTGAGAGATTTATTTCTGGAAAGGTGGATTTTTAGAAGTAGAAGCTCAAACTGTTTGGGCACAGACCTGGATAGTATGATAGAGCTCTGCAGGCTATCTCTACAGTAGATTGCAACTCCACCCCCTTTGGCAGTTCTATCTAGACGGAAAATGTTATAGTTGGGGATGGAAATTTCAGAATTTTTGGTGGCCTTCCTAAGCCAGGATTCAGACACTGCTAGAACATCAGGGTTGGCGGAGTGTGCTAACGCAGTGAATAACTCAAACTTAGGAAGGAGGCTTCTGATATTTACGTGCAGAAAACCAAGACTTTTACGGTTACAGAAGTCAACAAATGATAGCTCCTGGGGAGTAGGAGTGATACTGGGGGCTGCAGGGCCTGGGTTAGCCTCTACATCACCAGAGGAACAGAGGAGGACTAGAATAAGGATACGACTAAAGGCTTTAAGAACTGGTCTTCTAGTGCGTTGGGTACATAGAATAAAGGGGGCAGTTCTCCGGGCGTTGTAGAAAAGATTCAGGGCATTATGTACAGAAAAGGATATGGAAGGATATGAGTACAGTTCAGGTAACCCTAAGCGTTGGGTAACAATGAAAGAGATAGCATCACTGGAGGCACCGATTGTATGGGGGGTGGAACAAAGGAACTATTTGAGGCAGTTTGAGAGGGACTAGGGGTTCTACAGTGAAATTGTATAATAAGAACTAACCCAAACAGCAATAGGCAAGGCATAATTGACATGGGAGAGAGGCATAAAGCAATCACAGGTGTTATTAGAGAGAGCTAAGACAACAACTGGTAATAGCGATAACGTTTGGGCTGAGGCTAAACAGAATAAACAGGACAGCATGGCTACCACAGCATTCTTCAGCGATACGCCATACCATCTGGTTTGGGCTTAGTGGGACTATCATTTGTTTTTCAACAAGATAATGACCCAATCTCTCATGAGGACAGCCACAGACATGGAAGACCCAGAGTTACCTCTGCTGCAGAGGATACGTTCATTAGAGTTACCTGCCTCAGAAATTGCAGCCCAAATAAATGCTTCACAGAGTTCAAGTAAAGACACATCTCAAAATCAACTGTTCAGAGGGGACTGTGTGAATCAGGCCTTCATGGTCGAATTGCTGCAAAGAAACCACTACTAAAGGACACCAATAAGAAGAAGAGACCTGCTTGGGCCAAGAAACACGAGCAATGAATATTAGACTTGTGGAAATGTGTCCTTTGGTATGGAGTCCAAATTGGAGATTTTTGATTCCAACCGCCGTGTCTTTGTGAGACGCGATGTCAGTGAATGGCTGATCTCCGCATGTGTAGTTCCCACCGTAAAGCATGGAGGAAGAGGTGTTATGGTGTGGGGGTGCTTTGCTGGTGACACTATCTGTGATTAATTTAGAATTCCAGGCATGCTTAACCAGCATGGCTACCACAGCATTCTTCAGCGATACGCCATACCATCTGGTTTGGGCTTAGTGGGACTATCATTTGTTTTTCAACAAGATAATGACCCAACACACCTCCAGGCTGTGTAAGGGCTATTTTACCAAGAAGGAGAGTGATGGAGTGTTGCATCAGATGACCTGGCCTCCACAATCCCCCAACCTCAACCCAATTGAGATGGTTTGGTATGAGTAGGATGGCAGAGTGAAGGATAAGCAGCCAACAAGTGCTCAGCATATGTGGGAACTCCTTCAAGACTGTTGGAAAAGCATTCCAGGTGAAGCTGGTTGAGAGAATGCCAAGAGTTTGCAAAGCTGTCATCAAGGCAAAGGGTGGCTATTTGAAGAATCTCAAATATAAAATATATTTAGATTTGTTTAACACTTTTTCGGTTACTACATGATTCCATATGTGTTATTTCATAGATTTGATGTCTTTACTATTATTCTACAATGTAAAAAATAGTACAAATTAAGATAAACCCTTGAATGAGTAGGTGTGTCCAAACTTTTGACTGGTAGTGTATGTCTGTTTGAAGTCTACACAAATAGATTATACAAGTGGTTAACCATTTTCAACACACATACGTTTCTAAAAAAGGCTAGAAGTAGTCAATTTCTGGTGAAATTAGGTGGTTAGGAGGCAGGACATCTGTTCAGGTTGTCTCCTATTGGACAGTTATGGAGGGTCATTTTACCTGATTGGGTTGTCCACTGCATCAGTGTCCCTGGCACTAACGGTGCCAACCACGGCCCCTACCACCGCATTTTCCGGAAACTTCAACTCATAATCATGCGCCAGGAAGATAGGGGCCTCATCCACGTCCTCCACGACGATCTTTAGGGTCGTCCTGTCCCAAAACAATTTGTAGCTCAGTAAGCGTGCGTCTACGTGTTCGTTGACAGCCTCCGCAGCCATGACGAACCGCCGCTTGCTCTCATAGTCTAGAGGCTAAAAAAGTTAAGCAATCAATAACAACTCTTCGTAGCTAACCTCTTACTTGAAGACAATTTTTGACATGGAACAACAAAAAACCTATTTCTATTGATTTTCCAACGTAATACAGTCTGCCACTTTAGATTAATTGGCCTAAATGCTTATTATGAAGACATAACAGTTGCACAGAACCAGCACACAGCTTCCTCCATTCAAGTCCCCTTTCCTTACCTCAGCAGGGCGGTAGGTAGCCTAGTGGTTAAGAGCATTGGGCCAATGACCAAAAGGTTGCTGGCTCCAATCCCTGAGCCATTAAGTGAAAAATCTGCCGATGTGCCCTTGAGCAAGGCACTTAACCCTAATTGCTCCTGTAAGTCGCTCTGGATGACTAAAATGTCAATGTAATTCTATCAAATAAGATGAGAAAAAATGCTTTATTCAAAGTAAACTTTACTAGTAAAAAACAGCATCCAAACCATCAATTCCTTCCCAGCGTATCGGGAAGCATAAAGCCAAGTCTGTGAAGGGCATTGTCAAGTCTACTATAAATGAATAATGCAAGAGAGGATAGGCCCATAGCCGCTGGAAGTATGGGTGCTGCAGCAACCCCTGAAAAATCATTTATTATAAAAATTATATAGACAGTATCAGTCAAAAGTTTAGACACACCTACTCATTCAAGGGTTTTTCTTAATATTTTACAATTTTTTATATTGTAGAATAATAGTGAAGACATCAAAACTATAAAATAACACATCATGTAGTAACCAAAAAAGTGTTAAACAAATCAACATATATTTTATATTTGAGGATCTTCAAATAGCCATCCTTTGCCTTGATGAAAGCTTTGCAGACCCTTGGCATCCTCTCAACCAGCTTCACCTGGAATGCTTTTCCAACAGTGTTATGAGGTTTTCATAATGTTGTGTGAACCAGGTTAAAGTTAGTAGATAAGTGACTGGGCGCCGCACAGTCTGAATACCAAGGAGTCCATTATGTCAAGGGAGCTTATTGGTGGTTTATCTTAGAATGATTGATGGACATGATATACTGACTTGGGTACAGAGTACGAACATCAGAGAAGGGTGTGCCCACTGATGGTTAACAGATGTGGTTGAAGAAACGTGTTATCGAAGCTATATAAGCTGAGATATGTTCTTTGTTCAGTAGTTCGAAATGGCAAGAGGCAAAGCACTGTCTGTTTGTTATAACAAACCATGATACCTATTAAATATTTATATGAACTCCCCAGCTAAGTGTTAAATATCTTCATGCATCATGAATTACTTGATACCCGAGAAACTCATCATAACAAACAGTCTTGAAGGAGTTCCCACATATGCTGAGCACGTGTTGGCTGCTTTTCCTTCACTCTGCGGTCCGACTCATCCCAAACCGTCTCAATTTGGTTGAGGTCGGGGGATTGTGGAGGCCAGGTCATCTGATGCAGCACTCCATCACTCTCCTTCTTGGTCAAATAGCCCTTACACAGCCTGGAGGTGTGTTGGGTCATTGTCCTGTTGAAAAACAAATGATAAGCCCACTAAGCCCAAACCAGATGGGATGGCATATCGCTGCAGAATGCTGTGGTAGCCATGCTGGTTAAGTGTGCCTTGAATTCTAAATAAATCACAGACAGTGTCACCAGCAAAGCACCCCCACACCATAACACCTCCTCCTCCATGCTTTACGGTGGGAAATACACATGCAGAGATCATCCATTCACCCACACCGCGTCTCACAAAGACACTGCGGTTGGAACAAAAAATCTCCAATTTGGACTGTAGACCAAAGGACACATTTCCACCGGTCTAATGTCCATTGCTCATGTTTCTTTGCCCAAGCAAGTCTCTTCTTATTATTATTGGTCTCCTTTAGTAGTGGTTTCTTTGCAGCAATTCGACCATGAAGGCCTGATTCACGCAGTCCCCTCTGAACAGTTGATATTAAGATGTGTCTGTTACTTGAACTCTGTGAAGCATTTATTTGGTATGCAATTTCTGAGGCTGGTAACTCTAATGAACTTATCCTCTGCAGCAGAGGTAACTCTGGGTCTTCCATTCCTGTGGCCGTCCTCATGAGAGCCAGTTTCATCATCGCACTTGATGGTTTTTGCAACTGCACTTGAGGTGTCTGTATACCACCCCTACCTTGTCACAACACAACTGATTAGCTCAAAAGCATTGAGAAGGAAAGAAATTCCACAAATTAACTTTTAAGGCGGCACACCTGTTAATTGAAATGTATTCCTGGTGACTACCTCATGAAGCTGGTTGAGAGAATGCCAAGAGTGTGCAAAGCTGTCGTCAAGGCAAAGGGTGTGTTATGACTTACCCTCATGGGCTGAGGATCAAAGATGCCGGCTAGGCAAATGTTTGAACACCCCCTCTCCTGGGGGACAGTTTTATAACCGGTTGAAAATTCCTTGCAGAAACTTTCTGTTCCGTGCCATACAGTAATGGGAGAGGGAAATTCCCTGTGAGACAAAGGAAGTCTTCCCGCCAAGACTCCAACATCCAAAAGTGGATAATGAAACGTTATTCCTACTTAAAATAATGTGGGAAATGGTCGGTGGGGAACAATCATGACAAATGTGTTACTATGTTGTGATGTCATTAAAGACGGTGGAACAACATAACTGTATCTCTGGGGGTGTACACTTCCCAGTTATGAGGTTTGCATCTAATTGTTGTATAAAATGAATGATTAAGTATAATACTACTTTTTTGAAGATAACAATGTGATTTTAGTATTCTAGATGAGATGATTGTTTTCCATATTGATTTGTTCTCAGTCAGTGGCCGCGCCCAGATGAGCACAAACATGATGGAATGCCCCTTTTATGCAGAGTGCATAAAAAGCCTTGAAAAACATTAACATTAGACCAGCAGACGTGAAGTGTGAGCTAAACGTTACAAAATGGTTTAAAACTACAACTCCATTACCAAAGGAAGACCAAGCAGATTACGGAATAAGCCGGATGTTGCAAATGGTTGAATTTCTACCAGACCAGGAAGCGTGAAGCTGAAGCTACACGTTACAAAATTGTTAGACCAGAAAGACCAGAAACTCTGAAACTCTCAACCTCTACACGAGGTGGAGAAGAAGACAATGCACTATACCTTATCATCTCAGTCTGCAGCTGGTATGTATATTAGTCTAGAGAACTTTCACTAAAGACACGAGTTGGGAAGGACAATCCCTCTCCGACAACCGCTGGTACATCTGAAGTATCCATTCTAACCACCACTATGACCAGAAACTCTACCAAGGACATTGGGATCTCTGTTGGGCAAACCAGAGTCTTACTTCATCAACTCAACTATCGAGGACAGCTACACGTAAATACATGTTGCATTTCTAATACGAATTAGCGTTTAGTGGGGTTTTAAGCATTTGTATTTCCGTGAGTGTAGTTTCCAAAGTAACCACGATAGTTTGAATCTCTGTCTCTCCATTCCACTCTGACCCTCCTTCTACCCAATCATTTATGCTATTGTTAGTCCAGTCCTCTAGGGACCTGTTTTCATTGTATTACGTTAGTAATCAATAACCTATGTGTGTGTGTGTGTGTGTGTTTGAATTGTGTTATTATTTAGTTGTGTATTGCTGATTCATCAATAAGGTAAGGGTTCTTGCAGGTTCAAGGATTATGTGACGTTTAGAATGAGACTGATAAGAGGTAATTATTTAATAAGTGACTGTTATCGATATATAGAACATATATATATTCTAAGAGTTTAATTCGGGAGATGGTAACTCGTTAAACAACTTCTTCCGTGGTGCCCCAAATTCCTAATGAGTTAATTGTAACATGAGTAATTTAATTGAGTGACAATTAAACATAGTTAGGTGATTCGATAAATAACAGTCATATATTAAAGTAAGTCACGTCATACAGGTGGCTACTTTGAAGAATCTCAAATATAAAATATATTTTGATTTGTTTAACACTTTTTCGGTTATTACATGATTCCATATGTGTTATTTCATAGTTTTGATGTCTTCACTATTATTCTACAATGTAGAAAATAGTAAAAATAAAGAAAAACCCTTGAATGAGTAGGTGTGTCCATACCTTTGACTGGTACTGTATATATATATATATATATATATATATATAAAATAATAATAATAATAATAATAATAATAATAATAATTTCGTAAAAGTAGTGCTCCGGGCTCTTTAACTGTCCTGTATTAGCAGACCGATATATCCGTCTGCAGGGCCAGCGGTGCCCCCCCCCCACCACCAGACTACTACTTCCTGCAGCTATGAAAGGGCCCTTCAAAGAAAGGACTAACTATTGATAAAAATATATGAAAACACATGAAAAACATAAAGCATAAAGAAGTCAATAGATGTACGGATGTACAGTGTACATATTAGGACAGCCTCAGCCTCACAGGAATGTAACACATTGTATTGATGGCTAAAGTACAGTACAGTGTTTTATATGTGTTCACCTTGGCCAACAGGACCACCCCTTCCTGTGTGACTGGATCCGTTTGGACCTTGAAGGTTGCGCTCTCCTCCAGGTCCTTTAGACTGTAGTTCATCCTGGCGTTGATGCCCACGTCGCCATCGTCTGCCATGATCCTGCCCACCGTGTTGCCCACCGCAGCAGACTCAAGAACAGCAAAGGTATACATGTCTTGGGGGAAAAGAGTCCAAGGAGAGACCAATGAAATAGGTTTATAGATACATCTGTTAAATGTATTCTGCTTCACAGATACAGTGTTTTGGATAAGGAACCTTTGTGAAGACATATTCTATGTAATGTGACTTTTCAAATTTTCACATGCCTGAAAGAAATGAACAAGGACTATCCTTGTACTTGACTGTACTTGTACTTATTGTATACTAAGTTTATAGTAGTTTCCTGTGTGGCTGAAAAAGTGTGGCGATTGAGTTGTGAATAGCCAGTCAAGGGTGTCTGCAGTAGTGTGGAAGAATAACAACAGAAATAATTTGTGGTCCATGGGAATCATTTGTGGTAAAGCAATGATAAGTCATGGCAGGTCTATTTAATCCTGGCGCAACTCCAATAAGAAGATGAGAACATGTGAACGTGTCTTCAAGTGAGTCCATCTGGATCACTGGTGGACGCTCAACAGAAAGCAGACTGCCCAAAACATAAAGAACAGACTCTGATAATAACTTTAACATTTTTAAAACCATCTCACACATAACAGGGTATTGGTCAGTGGGTGAGATATTAGTGATGGGGGGAAAAATCGATACAGTAACATATCGCAATATTATTTTTAGACAATATTACATCGATATTTGACTCAAAGTATTGATAAAAAAATTAAGATTTTGAAAGTATGAAAGGCATACTTTGTTAAAACTGCTGTCCCTGTTTTCCCATTTGAGAGGAATTTATTTATTCATTTAGAGAGGTTTATCTCAGAGAAGGCCAGATTTGTTTCTAAAGGTCATGACAAATGTCCTTTCATATGTGAAAGATTAAATTCATCTCACAAACAGATATACACACACTCGTGCACAAACACACGCACACACACACACAGACACACACGCGTGCGCACACACACACACACACACACACACACACACACACACACACACATACACAGAAACATTCTTTGTCTCTCTCTCTCTCTCTCTCTCTCTCTCTCTCTCTCTCTCTCTCTCTCTCTCTCTCTCTCTCTCTCTCTCTCTCTCTCTCTCTCTCTCTCTCTCTCTGTCTCTCACTCTCTCTCTCTCAGAATGTACATCTACTTGTGTGTTTAAACTGCAGTCTACAACAAGGAGTAAGAGCAGAATACAAAGGTGTCATACAGACCGAAGAGGCTCTAAATACTCATGCCATGTATAACAAGTCACCATTGCACACTCCGATTTTCATCCTTTGTGATGTGAATCAGCATGTGTGAGAGGTTTGGCAGTAGCACAGAGTGTGCGGCAGTGACTGATGTGACTCACTGTGCTGGAAAGTGGGTCCGTTATCATTGACATCCGTCAGGCTGATGGTGACAGTGGTGGAGGCAGAGTAACCACTGCTGAGTCCCAGCATATCCTTCACCTGCACCACCACTAGATACTGCTCCCTAGCCTCCCTGTCCATGTTGGCCATTGAGGTCATGATGACGCCTGGGGGGGTTTAAAGATCGTTGACACTAAACATGACTTATTTTGATGCATTCATGGACCCATGTGAATGTCTCTACAGTATATCTCTCAACTATACCTGTCTTGGGTTCCACAGAGAAGTAGGCTCCCCCAGTAGAATAGAGTAGATGAGCTTGGCGTTGTTTCCGAACAGGGGATCGTCAGCATCTGCGGCTGTCACCTGGGCCACAGTTGTCCCTGTGGGGGAGGAGAGGATCACACAGGCAGGCTTGGCTAAGGTTGCAGCCACTCAGCCCCCCTCCAGCAGCCGACAGGGAAATAAAGTGATTATGCCACGGTCCCACTGGGTATGTCTGTCTGGATCAGTGGGGCAGACAATGGGGGGGGGGGGGGGGGGGGGGGGGGGCTGGGTGCCCGATGCTCACTGTGGCCTCTCACTAGGCACCGAGGCTGAGCAGGTGTGCTTGACAACCTCTCCATCCCCCGGCATGACATCACTCCCTATCATTCTCTCTTCTTGTTTCTCTCTCTCCACCACTCTATCACTATCTTTCCATGTCCCTCTCTTTCAGTCTACATGTCTATCTCTGTTACTTCTAGCGACCTCTCTCTCTCTCTCTCTCTCTCTCTCTCTCTCTCTCTCTCTCTCTCTCTCTCTCTCTCTCTCTCTCTCTCTCTCTCTCTCTCTCTCTCTCATTACTTTCTGTATCTCTCATTCTCTGTGTCTCCACATCTTCTCTTTTCCTCTCTTTCTCACTCTTTTCCTCAAAGTCAAATGCATTATGATTTATTACAAGAAATATATTATTCTGCAGGGCAGATTACATATAAATTGAAATGGTAATGCTTGCGCTATGAAATGGCACTGGTAATGATAACATTATTTAAGTGAAAATAAATCATATGAGGGATTTATAGGTATGATACCTAAACCAATACTTTCATCTTCCTGAAATGGTGACGGAGGACAGCCATCCCTTTACAGCCTTTCAGAATGTTGAATGAGATGTGATGAAACAATTTCAAATGCTCTTCAAGGTACATTTCAAACCTGTATGAAATCCCCTGTACCATGTGAGGGACTTCAACAACTCACAAACTTCAGGTGCTCAGTAAAATACAATACATTTGATTCCTCAACTAAGATTTCACATGATCCAAATGCATAATTTAAATGTATTCATTTCAAATGCTCTTCAAGGTACAGGTGCAGGTGACTTCAAATTGTAACTTCAGGTGCTCAGGAAAATACATCAGATCCCTTAACTAAGATTTCTTATCATCCATATATGTAATTTAAATGTAACTACTGGCGTCCATATTAGTACAGCCTCAGTCTCAGCAGGAGTTGTTTCAAACTTCTGCTGAGACTGAGGCTGTCCTATTATGGACACTGTATTATTTGCGTATTGATGCTGTCGAACATACCCATGGGACACATCTCTTGGATGCTGGAGACATAGGGCTCATTCTGGAACTGGGGTATGTTGTCATTGATGTCCTGGACCTTAATGATAAACTCTGACTGAGGCTCCACAGGTTCATTGGACCTCCTAGCGAGGGCCTGAGCCTGGAGAACATAGAAGGCCTTCTCCTCGCGGTCCAGCTTCTGCAACGCACGTATCTCTCCTGAATACTCATCGATTTCAAACATCTCCCCAGCACCTTCCCCCGACAGAATATACTTGATAGCGAAATCCCCTCTGTCGTAGTCTGATTTCAGCTGAGGGAAAGGAGAAAAGGAAACAAAGAGCCATTAACGTATTTGCTTCGTAATGTATTTGATTCATAATGCATTTGCTTCATAATATATTTGCTTTGTGTTTTCTTGTTCCATTTTTTTGTCCTGTCTACTAACCATCTAGGAAAAGGCATTACTAAAATGTAGGAAATGTTTATTCTGTGGAGAACTGGTACCTGGCCAATCACACGTGGAGTGGGGTCCTCCTCTGGGAGAAACAGCTGTTTCCAGATCCAGCCTCGTCTGAGTCTGCGGTGTAGAGCGGTAGTGGGAGACCCCTGGCCCAGCTGGTGGTTGGGCTCCAGGCTGTGTGGAGTTCCCTCCTCACACAATACACAGTATGGTGTCATGGACAGGATAATAACTAACGCCAGTAGACCAGGACACTGCATTGTGTTAGTCCCCTGATCCGTTTTCCAACCCGTCTCTTCCCGTGGTTAGCGCACAGAGGTGCATGTGTTACTGGTCCATTAAAAAGGTTAATCTGAGCGTCAGAGAGACACAGTGATACGGTGATGACCTCAGAGAGGTGCTTAGCCACCCTGCCAATGGCCTGTTGCTGGGAACTGCCATTCCGCTGTTGAAGGGACAAAGGTGGTTGGAATGGATGACTTGTTACACTTGTTTCACAGGATGAATATTCAAAAAAATCCAACATATATATTTTGTAACATTAATAAAAGTGGAGATGATGGGTGAATTAATTCTGGTCAATTCAACCACAATGAGAGATGTAATTCCTCATCTGGACATTACAAAACCGAGATCAATATACTTAAGAGGCACTGGCGTAGCACACACTCCCGCAGCCCCCGCAAGGCGTGGGGCCCAAACCCCCTTGCTCGGACTTTGCAGGTGTCCCCGCGAAACCACGCTACGCCACTGATAAGAGGAGAGGCAAGTCATCTTTCATATTTGATTGTTGTTTTATCTAGCTGACAAGATGAGAGAGTATTTTTACCAGACTTTGACACCAATCTAAATACCAGCCATGCCCTCTAACAACCCCTGGTCAAACACTGTATTTCGAGACATGAAAATACATTTGAATTAAACAGCTATTACTGACAAACGCAGCTTCCACTGAGATATCCAAGAAAATATATGAACTAGAAGCAATTTTGCTTGGGAAAAGATCATTACGATTTTGTGTTTCTGTTTCTTGTAAGTATGCTCTAATGCTGGGGTCTTGACTTTAAATCCTGTGAGGATGAAAAGCCTTCTCTGTTTTGTAAGGAAACAAGGCAATGTATTGTATTCCATGGACGAGCAGTAGGACCCAAACATCATTCCTTCAGTATGATACAGCACTCTGCAGCTGACTAATCAAGACGTGTAATTAAATCAATGCCTGGTTAGATATGGATAATAGAGACACATGCGCCTGAAAAAAATAAATTAGAATGGATGTTGCAATGACCAAGTCCAAGACTATTGAATGTGTCTTCCTCTGAAATGTCGACCTTCGGTCATGTCTAGGACATTGTAGGATGACTTCATATCTAATGGTAGTTCCGAAAGGGGGAGTTTAGGGAATGTGGAAACCCAGCTACAGGAGTGGTCAATATTAACAATGCAAACAAAGAGATATGATTTGTAGAACATATTTTACTAATCTTATATTAATAAAATCTAAAAAAGGTTGTGTTGTCCGCATTTTTTTAAATGAAAGTGAAATGGCAATTCTAGTGCATTTTAGTTGTTTAAAGACAATGTTTGAAAGTGCCACCATGACAACTGTGCAATGTATCATCTTGTCGCTTCTGCCATTGACAGAGAAACCAATATGAAACCATAGTCATTGCATTGGAATGGAATGGTAACCAATAGCGATACACCTCCAACAGCTGGTGTCTCTGTCAGTGGCTTGTTTCTATTTTAGCATTTTGCTAATCTACCATTTCCCTCAGATTGTCTTCATGCTACTTCCATTTTAATTGTGTCTCATAGAGAGCATTTGTGTAATTGAGTCAAATAGTTGCTGTCTGACTGTTCTCTCCAGATTGTCCCACAATTGACCCACGATTCCTTTTGAGTCTCCTGTTCAGAGAAACTCTCCAAATTACTTTGGGGTGAGAATGACTTAAGATGTGAAATAGTAGTTTCATCAAAATACCATCACAACAAGCATTTTCTATCGGTGAAATGTTTCTAGTAGTTTAACGTTTTGTATGTTTCTGAACGTCACCAGAGACAATGCTATGTGCAATAATATTAAATAATACAATAATATTGTGTGCATTGAGCAGTTAGTATAGTTGTCATTGTAGTAGCCATGGAGGTCTGACTGCCTAATGGTCATATTTAATCTTGTGAAAGTATATTTACTGTCAAGCCCCATAAAAATAAACTACCAATGCCCAATTTTATTTTAGAAATTCAATTTGGTCACACAATGTGAGTGAAAGTGTGTATGTTTGTGTGTATTTGTGTCTTAACTGGGCATATTCATATCAGCGTGAGACTCATGGAGTGGCATTCCAATTAGTGGCCAGTGAATCGTAAGGTAATGATGGGCCTTCATCTGGCTGCCAAGCAGCCTAACTGAACGCTGCGGGCCAAAACTAGACAACAGCCCCTGACGCTACTGAAAGGCATCTCCCAGTGTTTAACATTTCCCAATTTAGTACGCCGATACAGATCAGTGCCAGATAAGTCACACAACAGTGGCTGGCTGACACACTGCCCAACAGATCTGGAGATGGTTGGTTGGCTAACAAGATGCACTACAGGCAGCCAAAATGGCGGAGCATAAACTACGTGGAAAAAGAGCACATCTGCTCTTATACAAATGCTCATTAGGCTTATTAGGCAGGCCTTTTCACTGAAATCTGTCCTGACCATGGAATAAGTGCTGTGGTGTTTATCTAATCCGAGATATTAGAAATACCTAATGCAAAAACAATAGACTATATGAATACGACAGCTTTAGCTGCCAAACCATCTTCTATATTTCTATGCATGTCCATTAGAAATTCATTTTTGCAATAGCTTATTTACATGACAATAAGACTGAAATGGCATCTGGCTCAATGGTATCAAGTAACACAATGAAAAATGGTGTGGATGGTGTTTGGACTACTTATTCTGGAATCTATCAAAAATGCTGGGGTGTTGATCTGAGCAACCCCAGAAAGAGGTATATTTTCCATTAGCTAAACCATTTGAATGTATTTTTGATGACTAGGATCAGTGCGTGTAGAGCCCTGTGGTTGGCAGCCATTTTTTTATGTAGTAATAGGCCTTCTTCCTCCCATTCCAGCAGACCTCCTGGAGCACCAACATGTACACTTCTCCACTACTCCACCACATGACAGAGTGAGAATGAGCTGGGGTCTTGCAATGTTAAGCACTAGATGCAGTGAGACCATCACATTACTTTCCTATATGTGCTCTCATGGAGATATTTACATTCTCCACATCTCACTTCACATACTGTTAAACTACTTACCTAACATTTCTTAGACCAGGCTGTGTTAGGCATGTGTGCAAGTGTAACACAAGGTAGTCTATGTAGACAATCAAATATGTTATAACAGAGTAACTACAGTATAATACCACATGTAATACCATTATAACATTATGTCCATCATAGACTACCATTTTTTTGTGTGTACCTCCCCCTTTCTTCTTATTTTCTCCGCTTTTTCTCTCTTTCTCAAACACTGGCACTATTGTCTGGGAGCACATCTGAACAGTGCTGAACACTCACAGCCTCCATTGCCATGCAAATAGCCCCAGCAATGAGATACAAATGGATTACTATCTTTCTACCCAGCTCTCTCTTTCTTTTGCTCTCCCTCTCTCTATCTCTTTGCGAACAATCCGGCACTTATTGCTGATGTGGCAATTCATCTAAGGTGACTATTTCTGCGAGTGACAAAGAGGGGTTCAGTCTGTTTTTGACATTTAAACCCGATGAAAAAGACGGAGAAAGCCCTCGATATAGGCTTCGTCTTGATATTGACACGTTTTTCTAAACGACGGGCCTGTCGTGACCTCAAGTTGTGAATTCATGTATGTTTGGTGGTGAATCATCTGTGGACACTGTCGGACTATTGTGGAGAGTTCTCGCTACTTCAGCTGTTGTAGAGGAACAATTATCCCTAATGATAATGCTTCTCACTCCAATAACTAAAAGCTACTTTTCCCTTTAGGGCCACCGTAAATAATACTTAAAAAAAAAAAAATACACAATAAATGTTTTGCTCCTGACCAATAAATTAGCACACAGGACTAGGTTTAACATCAGCTGGTTGAAAACTAGACACACAGCAGATATCTGTAGACTTGCTTTGAGGCAGGACTTTCTTTCTTGGCATGTACACTATTTTGACATGCTAACCTTGCAGATTAATAACATTCCAAAATGTTAATGGATGCGTCATTAGCCAGCAGCGTTTACTGCATTCTCCCCTCTGAGGCAGTAACATGAGGATTTTGTTATTTTGTAACCACAGATTGGTTCAGTTGCTGTGAACTCCATGACTCACATTTTGTTTCCATGTCAAATGCAGAAATATCAGGACTTGTACTGTGACATTTCAAACCTCCATCCATTATAGACTGAGTCTAATGGAGCCTTCTTTATTAGAATCACCAACAACTGGGAAAGAACAGCACCATTGAATGCTACTCCAATATCTCTGTTTCTACTCTTGCTCTTTAATATAGAAATACAAGTGTAGGCTCAGAACTGAGGTTTTGTCGACCCTAAGCTTTCCTTGACTATTAACTAGAATCAACAGGTTTAATATTGGTATTACATTTTGCAATATAAAAATAAAACATTTAATGAAAAGACATGCTGTATTGAGAGTAGCAACGGGGTAGATTTGGACCCAGAGCTGTTCTTTGTGTAGGACGAAATCAGCTTGCCAAGGCTGGATCTTGGGACAAACACTCCAAAGCAGAAGTCAATCATCACAAAATAAAACAGTTTTTCTTAAATCATTAAATCATGAACTATTGACCAATAGTTCATGATTTAATGATTTAAGAAAAAAATGTTTTATTTTGTGATGATTGACTTCTGCTTTGGGCTCACACAATGAATGCTCTAAATAACTCTTGTAACCCAGATAATCTGTTTACATTATCTTCACATGTCGGCCATAACCATAAAATACATAAGGGAGTCATTTATATTGTGAATTAACAACTGAGCGCACAAGTTCTGCATGTTCGGATCTGTGGAAAAAGGCCCTTTTGTCACGACTGTCGGTGAGATGCGGTTGAAGAAGTCAGGCGCAGGACACAGAACTCTCGGACACGTACTTTAATCCGATACTGAACATATGAACACAGAAATAACTCCATGCAGGGAGGAAATAACCCGCTCACTAATGACATACGTGAAGGGAAAACAATCACACACAATATCCCGATGAGA